AACGATGACCTCCTTATAAATATAAATTTCAAATATTCAATGTGATATGTCTCTAAATCATAAGATAGTTATCTATTCTATTCGTCAAGATAAGTATTGGGCAAATGAGTTCAATTTTCATCTTTCTAGAGAGAAATAGTCCCCCCATACTTGCTATCTATAGTTTACCCTTACCCACCCAAAAAAATATGCACCATATCCATAGCAAAGAATGAGAGAAAGTTTCAGGAGAATAGAAATAGAAATTTCATAAACCAGGAAAAAGATATTGAACTTTCCAAAAAAAAATTAGAGTATATTAATAGAAAAGTTTTTTGAAATAAATTTTTAAAAAATCATATTTTAAACTTCTTCTTAAAAAGATGGGATATTTTTACCAATCTATTGAAAAAGTCGTTAATTAAATGCTTTTTCAAAAAAGCACTGATTTTTTTAAAAAGTCGCCATTAAATCTGCGACTTGCTAACTATGCTCCCACATAACTTTTGAAGTCGTACTTGCAACATATCTAGAGCAACTCAATTTCTCTCTCTCTAAAAAAAATATTACATGGTGCCTAAATACCTTCCCCTTCAAAAATAAAAAAAAGTCACTCTTGAATATATCCGTAGTTTAAACTCCCCTAAGTTCATAATAACAAAATCCTCTCTCCCACAACAATTTGTGACCTATACTTCCAACACATATAGAGCGACTAAAAACTCCAAGAAAAACAGGGGTATTATGGTCCCTTGGCCACATGAGTAAGGATTTTTAGATTTTCTTTAATTAGTTAATGTGCGAGAAAGGAAAATGCAAGCTATTATAATGTCAATGGCCTACCTAAACCCTTAACCAATCTGTCATATATTTTTTTATTACACTAAAGTCAAAAGTATAGAAAAAATTATTACTATTGTTATTGTTATTGTGATAATTATTATTTGTTGAATGGTTCCTGCAAGGTGGTGATGATAATAATTGATATTTTAAAATACTTGTCGATTAGAATTTTAGAGCAGATGGGTCAAGCAACAACTCATAAACAAGAATTATAGCTAAATTCAATTATTATCTAAAGCTTGTTGAAGTCTAACCCATTGTAATCACGGTTATAAAAATAATAGGTATTGGGTGATACGAAAAGAATGAATAGCAAGTACTACATTTGCCTTTTCTTTTATAGAGAGAGAGAAAAATTAACAAAGAAAGTGTCTTTGGGTTGTGACTGTTTTTTTTTTCTAACATTAACATAAAGCTTTCATTAACCATAGAAAAATACAAGATATACGATAAAAACAAAATTTTACAATCAAAGAAGGGGAGAGGACTCCTCCTTTGGCAAGAGCATTGGCTTCTTCATTAGCCTCTCGGAACAATGCTGAAGAACAACATTTGAACCTGATAAAATATTTCTAATCTCATAAAAATAACCCTTAACCTCCATGGAATATTGGCTTCACCTTTGCTCTATACAATGACATTTACCGAATGTCCTTTTATAATCCTATCCCCTTCCAATCTAAAAATCAACTCAGTTCTTCCAATAAGCCACGAACATCAGCCTCATTTGCTATTATAATACCGCAAAGACGAGTAAATGATATGTGACCCAAATTAATTCTAATAAGTCTACCAAAACCAGGTGTTTTCATATAAATGTAGGACTAAGTTCTAGGCATCTCTCCTCACGACAATAAACATTGTAAATATTATAGTATGAAATGATATTATTTTTTAAAAAAATTACTATTTTTAAAATTAAAATATTAACAACAATCATCGAGAGAGAGCAATTGATCTTGCAACATGATACAAATGTGTACAACTTTGAAAACGAGAAAGCAGGTGTTCACTTTTGGAAAAAGAGAAAAGTTGTAGTTTGAGAGAGGGAGAGAAAGGAAGTTGCCCCTTGTTTTTATTTAATCTTACCCGGTCCAACCATGTCCTCATAGGACCAGGGCTGGGCCTGGATCAGCCATCAGGGGAACTGGGATACGGCTAGGACTGGCCCAGCCCATTGCCAGCACTGATGAAACCCATAAATATAGCTTTTCAATTAATATTAGGTACAATAGGTTGCATGCTTATGTGGGTGCAAAATGTACATATACGCCTTAGGGCAAAAACAATTCCCAAGAGTAATTTTGAAAGCGCATCTTGCGAATGGGATGTACTCATCCCAACAACTACTCTGATAGGAGAAAAAAAAAAACTGAAATCGTAATAGCTTAAAAATCGCATCACACGAGTTGGAAAAAAGAAAAATTTATGTGGGTGTTTGGTTACATGTCTAAAAAAAATGGAGAACTTGTTTATTTTGACGAATAAATTATGCTTATAATATTGAACCACCATAGTGCCATTTTAGAAAGAAAAAAGGTTTATGTAAGGTGTCAATCATGTATTGTAAAATTAAGGCGCACCTCAAAAATCAACCAAAACGTATTATTTTAACACTACAAAAACCTTTAATCAATCAACTCGACCTCGAGAAGTTTGGATATGGAAAAAAAAATGATCTCGAGTCTTGAAAATAGTGTATATCATGCACATTATTTGGACGGTTCATTTTCAAGATTTTTAATTGTCAATTCCTTCGGAACTCCGATCTCTATGGCTACAAGTCCTAGATATTTCAGCTTACTCGCACATTTCTTTCTCCCATGTTTTTCGGGAGGCTAATGGGATTGCTTATGCTTTGGCTAAAAGCGGTGTTGGCCTAGACTCTCCTATTGTCTCTTCGGATGTAATCTCTTTTTAGAATATCAATAAAGTTCTGAACATTGGTAAAAAAAAAAAAAGTGTTTATAAATCTACTCCATTGCATCACTTTTAGAGATTTAAATTTCACCAATAGTAACAAAATAATTTTTAGCCCATCACAAAGTTTGTCGGTACCAAAACTACATCTTCTAGTATAATTTGGAGGCACGCCTTATTTGAGGCCTTATACAAACTGCACCCATTTGGAAAGGCTAGATCGTTAGTTGTGAATTGAGATCCTAGTTATGTGACATGATACTTCGACTCTATACAATGACCAAATACGACAATTGCATTAAATTTTTCTTTTGGAAAATTGTTTCCCCCAGGCCGGACCGTATTTCGGCATATGTGGTCAAGAAAGTGTAAAGCATCCATTCTTAAAGATGGA